AACCAAGGTTCAATTTGGATGCCAGGAAGTATTTCCTGGCAGTTAGGATGCCTAGGGTATGGAATGGGCTTCCATGGGAGGTGCCTGAGGCTGTATTGGTGAGGGTGTTCAAGGACAGGCTGAACATGCACATGGTAGGCATGTTGTGAGCCAAGCCAGCTGGAGCCAGGGATCAGACTAGATGGCCCGGGAAGCCACTTCTGACTCTCTGTTTCTGTGTTTCAATAAGCCATGCATAAGGTTCTTCTCTTAGGGAGATGAGTTTGCCTTCATATTGAGGATAGCATTCAGCACCAGGGATAACTATTATAAGGCTTGAAAGAAAAGCTGCACTGGGTGAGGAACCTCAACAGCACAGGGACCACCAGTTTCCTTTGCTTTTGGGAAGATGTAACATGACCACACAGGTCTCTGAAAGCTTATGGGATCCAGTCTGGGACAAGGTTTACCACTCCCTTCTGCTGTATAAACACAACTCTCTGGGAGAGAAAAAGCAGACTCTCCGGTGGATATTCTCGGAGGATGTTCTTTCTCTTTTCCTTGCCCTACAGGAAATCTGTTCCAAGCAAAATGTCTAGGCCTGAGGAGTTTCCACTGTGGCAGTTGGTCAGGTTCTTGTTGAATCACCTTCTGGCATTCCATACTGAGCAAAAGTATAGAAACAGCTTCAGCTGCTGAGTCTGGAAGAACTGTACTCTTCTTTTAGGTGGATCAAGGGATACAGGAATCTGTCTGATTTGCTTTCCCTCAATTTCACTTTCTTCAGGTCTTCTGTGCAGCTTATACCAAACATTGAGATATTGTTTCAAGTTTGCATGAACATCATATGCATTTTTCTGTGCATTTCTCTGAATGCATGCATTTTATGCATTTTTGCCTAATATGCACTTTTGCAAACAACTTTCATAATATGACAAGCACATGTGTGTGCATTTCTGAATTGAAGAACTTTACTGCAAAATTTGGAGACATGTGAATTTTAAGGATGTGTGTATTTCACTTTGCAAAATCAGTCAAGTCAAATTAATCAATCATTTACACATCAAGCAAAGGAATCTCTCCCCATCCCTAAGAGGATTTTCACTAGTGATTTTTAAAGTTTATTTTTATTGTGTATTTTAAAACCAAAACTAGAACACAAAGGGAGAGGGTAAGGGCAAGGGTAAGGAGAGAATTTCATTGAATTTAACATAAGGTCATCGTAAATAGATTCTTCATGCTCTTTGACTGCTAAAAGACTAATATTACAATACTGGAAGGTTGACCAGCCACCTAGAACGACACAATGAGTAGACAACTTGATGAAACTTTCACCTTTTCAACAAATGGATTTTAGGTGCAGTTTGTAGATGATTAAATACATGGGTATTTGGACTGTTTTCATTGATGTTTATGCATATTTACCTTTGATAATAATAGTATGTCTTGCTACATATAAATATATAGAAGTATATGGTTTATATGTATTCACTGTAATAGATTTACTTAAGTTTCATATAAGGATCATTGCCATTTAGTGTTCAGAACAGACTGTATGCGTGCATGTACTTAGAAGTAAGCTCCTTTGGAATCAATTGTGTTTTCATCAAAGAAGTGTGCTCAGGAGTGAGGGCCCTTGGTATCATGAGCTCAAATGGGCCTCCTTCCATGCTATTGGGGTCACATTACCTGTCAGTGATGCAAACGTTATTGGTTCTGGTCAGCTGCCATCTTTCAGAACATGAAACAGTGGCTACCCGGTGCTAAGTATAAGGAAGGGAATTGAGCATGGGTAGACAGGCATTATTCATGGCCTTGTCAAGCCACTGGGACCCAACACTGATGCAATCTGATGACATTGGACCTGTTACATTTGAAAAAGAAGCATAAAAAGAAGAAAATATAATTATTTGATGGATTTTGGGGATACAGTGTCCTGTGCATCTAATTAGCCTAATAAAACAGTCAAACTTCAAGAGAAAGTCAATAACACTTTTTTCCAAACCTCACCATTTGTTGGCAATTGCAGAAAGAGGATGTGTGTGAGAGAGAGGGAGAGATTTTCATCAGGAAACTAGCACAGGGACACAACTTTAATCACACATCGCATGATTGTAAGCCGATGAAGGTCATTATAAGCTGTCCTGAGTCATTCATTGGAAAGTGCGGGATACAAATGTTTTAAATAAATAAATAAATGATTGCAGGTTGGGATCCTGCAATACAAATAGGGAAGGCATTTCTCTGATTTGCATTTTAATATGAACTAACCTTATTTAGCACTTTCAACACAGTACACAAAGTGAACTGCAGTTATCCCTTGATATTCCTCTGAATCATGCCATGGAGTATTCCACTGTTTATAAAAAGTCTTATATAAGGGAGTCGTGCATACAAAAATGCTAGTATTGCTATCCATGTTTTTTTGGGGGGGGCAGTTTAAAAATGCATTCAGTTTGGAAAATAGCTTTCAAATGGCACATTGTATGCAAAATGGTAGGGGAAATGAATGGTATTTGGAGAAATGCACACAGAATGCTTACCCTAGAAATGGAAACTCTGAGTCAGATAGACATATATGCTGATGCGCCTATGCCCTGGAGACACATTGGGAGAGTAGCTCAGGGGCAGCGCACATGATTGGCACATAGGTCCCAAGTTCATTCCCCAGTGCCTCCAGTTCAAAGGATCAGAGGGAACCAGCGACATGAAAGACCCCGGATCTGGGATCCTACAGCAGCTGTCAGTTGAAGTAGGTGAGGCTGAACCACAAGTGCAAATATTCTGACCTCATTGAAGGGATTTCCCCCCTGTTCTTGCAGAACAATGCATGCTGCTTAAGACCCAAGGGGGCAGAAACCACAGCTTTCTCCATTGTGATGTCAACCAAATGTTTTGGACTGTAAGTCCCAGTTGTTCCAACCAGCTTGGCCAATCATAGAATCATGGAATAGTTGAGTTGGAAGGGACCAAGAAGGCCATCAGGTCCAGCTCATTGAAGGACTCTGTGTCAGACCATCCTTCTCAGATGGCTGTTATGATTAGGGATGAAGGAAGCTGTGGTTTCAGATATTTAGAAGATATCAGGTTGGTGTAGGCTGTTATGGATGGTGCTTTCAGAGAGAGGGCAGACTCTGTAAAGTAGGACACATGGCTGCCCTACACTCCACTGGTGCCAATGGAAGATACCTTACCAGTTGCAGTTTAGAAGTGGGGGGTAGATTTTTGCTGGTATCCTGATGTGGAAGATGTGGGTGGGTTGAATTCATCTCCCCGTACACCATGCTTCCTATCCTTATTGAATACCCCTACCAACTGCCATTTACAATTTTCAAAATATTTTAATTATTTTTAAAGGAAAGTAGAAAGTGCAGCATGCAAGTTAGTCAGCTGTATAAAGAAACTTAGTCTCAGGATGGTTTGGAAGCTGGTCAGAATGGAATAAATTTCTTATTTGTGTTACAGCTGAGAAAACACATGCACATGAAAAAAGTCACAGAAGAATATTTCATTGCTGCATTTGGATTTCAACATTTGCCTCACTTAAGGAGAAGGGGGAGAGATATAAAATTGCTGCTCCCTTCCCTTAAAAAACTACCCCTTTCCCCTCCCATTTCCTGAACCAGGCTGAGTTTTGAACAGAAAAATTCTCAATCCTACAAAAGTAACTTGTGGAGACAATAGGACACTTGTTCACAGAAGTGGCCAGCCATCAAAGCCTAATCCTTCAGGATTTCCTCCACTGTGATAGAGCTAAGACAAACAGGGTTTGGACCCACAGTTTCCATGAAATTCTACCACTGAGCTTCAGCCCTCACCACGAGAGGCGTACAAGGCGTCTCTGTTTGGAGGCACTGTCCCTCTGATCCAGGCCTTATGGAGAAAAACAAGGGAGGCCTACTGCCTGTGGGATGCCTTGTGGTGGCCTTCACCTGGTCAGTCCAGAAATGGAGTCCTGGCCTCAGTGGACCTTTGGACCCTAATCCTAACCCAACCCCCCAGCTGCTGATTTTGGTCCTGACCCTAAGATTTGCACATACTGTTTTGCCACTTGAGTTATTGTTATTCTGAAAAGTTTTTTTATTTGAATTGTTATCAAAATATCACTGAGGAGCTGGGTAGTATGTCTTGATAAGTGCTGTTACTGATGTTATTGAAAAGTTTCTTGATAGATGCTTTTTTATGTATCGTTCACTTTGTATGATTTTATTCTGCGTGTTGTGAGCCGCATCTTTTTCACAGAATTTCTTTTCTGGAAAGGCAACAATGCAGGAACATGTTACAAGGAGGTAAAATATGGTTGCCTCCACTGGTCAGCGGAAGACTTCTGTGTTTATCCTCAGTGCCCCTGAAAATCATGCTTTGCCCGGCATTACTATTTATCCCATTGGGACATTATCTTCCAAACTGAAATGGAATCTGGCTGCCCAGACAAAGTGTGACCAGGCCATAGGAATGAAAGGGAAAGTATTCCTGTCTTCTTATTGCATTTTACATGGCAATCCTCATTGTTAAAGGACCCCAGGGTAAAGCTTTGCCACATTTTAACCTAGCAGAGTGCCTGTGCTTTTCAGATGCGCATTAGAATCCAGCCATCCAGTTATTCAAATTATTTATACTGACCTCCATCATAATAGATCTGAAGAGAGTTTTTGTACCCACAACACACAGACAGACACACACACACGCGCACGCGCACAGAGGAGCCCTGCCCCAAATACTCAGCAAACCTGTCCAGAATTTATTTTTTTCTTCCAGGAAAGCTGAAGAAGTTTACTTTCCAGATTATGTCATCCTTTTGCACAGAAAATGATAATCTTTTGAATGATAATCTAAATGATAAACCAGGGCGACTTATTTTATATTGTTACTTATTTTATATTGTTATTTTTTGTATTTTAACTTTATGTTGTGAGCCGCCCCGAGGCTTCGGCGAATGGGGCGGCATAGAAATGTTTTAATAAATAAATAAAAATAAATAATCTAACAACTAACAACTCTTTGTACGTTTCAGGAAAACCATGACCACTTTACTACTAGTATTTGTGTGTTTGCGAGTCATCACTGCAGCCCTCTCTGTGGAAGTTCTAGGTAGGTAATCCCCAGGCTTATTCTAAATATATACAGTGATGCCATTAGGGTACAGCTGTGGAGCACAGTTCCGCATACATTATGGGAACTCTAGGGGAAAATGACCACAACATGCTTGAGCTCTTGATTTTAAAGGAAACAAAAATGGAATGTAGTGATACACATCCTCTGGATTTTGGGAAAGATGATGTTAATGAACTCAGACCAATGATAAATAAGGTCCCATGGCAAGTGAGCCAAGTGACTGTGGAAATGCTGTGGACATAATATTTTTTGAGTTCAACAACATTTCAACAAAGTGCCTTATGACATTCTGATCAGCAAATCGGCTAAAAGTAAAAAAGGACAGAACGACAATTGGACACAGAATTGGACTCAGAGAGTGCTTCTCAATGGTACCTTCTCAGGCTGGGGAGAGGTAACGAAAGGGGTACCACAGGGCTCAGTCCTGGGCCCAGCACTCTTCATCATTTTTATTAATGTCTTGGATGAAGAGGAAGAGGGAATGCTGATCAGATTTACATATGACACAAAACTGAGTGGGGTAGTGAATAGCCTGGAAGGAAGAAACAAAATTCAAAGTGATCTTGATCGTCTGGACTGCTGTGCTGAAAGCAATGGAATGAAATTCAATAGGGGTAATTGAATTTATACCTGGGAAAAGGGAGCCAAAGGCACAGTTACAAGATTGGGATACTTGGCTCAACAATACTACAGATAAGAAGGAACATAGACAGAGATAAACAGAGTGAGTCAGAAGAGGCCTCCGGGGCCATCTAGTCTGACCCCTGGCTCCAGCCGGCTCTGCTCATTACATGCCCACCATGGAACTGTATATGATTCAACAGTGTGATGTGGCTGCAATAAAGCAACGGCTATATCGGGCTGCATTATAGTAGTTTAGCTTCCAAATCACATTTGGTGCTGGCTTCCCTCTATTCAGCACTACTTAGGTCTCATCTCAAGTACTGTGTCCATTTATGCGCACCACACTTCAGGAAAGAAGTGGACAAACTGGAAAAAGTTCAGAGGGCCGCAAGGATGATCAGAGGACTGGAAACAAAGCCCTATGATGAGAGATTGAAGGAGATGGACACATTTATCCTGGAGAAGGAAGACAGAGGGGATGTATGATAACACTGTTCAAATACTGGAAAGACTAACATACAGAGGAAGGCCAGGATCCCTTCTCAGTCATCCCAGAGTACAGGTTACAGAACAACAGGCTGACGTTACAGGAAGCCAGTTTCTGGCTGGATATCAGGAAAAAGATTCTGACTGTTCGAGCAGTATGACAATGGAGCAAATTACCTAGGGAGGTTGCAGGCTCTCCCACACTGGAGGCAGTTGAGCAGCCCACTGACAGAGAAGCTTTAACTTGCAGTCCTGCATTAAGCAGGGTGATGGACTTCTGTAGGCCCTTTCCAATTCTACTACTCTGTGATTGATCAGTATAAGTAAGAAAGTCTCCTGAAATGCTAGAGGACTGGTTTACCATATTTTGAACCAAATAAAGGGAAGCTAACTTCAGTCCTGCTGTAAGACCTCTCCATCCAGAGTCTAAACTTTCCCAGCTGCACCACTTCTGTGTACAAAAGGAGCTGGTGTGTTGGGGTATTATGCCTAGCTGGGCAATGTATGGGCAATAGCATGTGTTCCCTCCATGTCAAGAGCCTTCTCCCACAAGCAACTTGTTCTGATTTCGCTTTTGTGCTTCATTTGGGGAGAGATAGTGCTGTCTAATTATGTTCTGGCAGTGCTTTTATCTCTTTGCATCTTATCTGTATAAGAATTGCTAATGGGAAGCTTTTACTGGACTATCTAGCTGTCTGTTAAGAGATGCATTTCCTTCCCTTCAAACTTTTCAACATTTACTTAAAATAGCATCATAAAAAGAACAATATAAATAAAGCAGCAGATGATTGCAACACGCAACTCATTCATATACATGACTAAAAGATACCTTTGGAAATGTCTGAAATCAAGGGCTTTGCCTGTTGCTGAGAAGATGCTAACATAGAGGGTTAGGTGAGTCAACATTCCAGAGGTTGGTTGCCACCCCGAGAAGTCTTAACCCCAGCTGCCAGCAGTTGCATTGTGTAGTGGAGGCACTTGGAAAAGACCTCTGCATGTGATCTAGTGTGCAGGCACTCTGATGCAGAGTCTCTTGGACTTCACAGACCACATGATCTGCCAGTCTTCTCTCCAGGAAGCCTCCTGAATCACTGTTTTGAGCCCCTGGGTGGGCTTGGAAATATTTCTCGTGTGTGCCAAAAGCCAGGCTGTGTGCAGAGAACCCTAGGATGGTTTCACAAGCTGTGTTAAGAAAAGTGTTTGCTCTCCACTGAAGGATGGTGCATAGGAAAGTTATGGTCATGGTGAGAATGACCACTGTTAATTCACATCCCTTGTACCTTCCAGGGTTGGACTTGCCATGCAGCCAGATGGCATGAGCTGGCACCATGGCCTTAATTATGTGGGAGATGATAAATGAAAAGTTGAGAAGATGAATGAAAGTGGAAAGAAGGATTAAAATAGTACAGCAAGACTTTCTTCTCCTTTCCTTTTTTTCTTCTCCTTCAATAAAAGAGGAACATCTGAGGCTCCACTACAGACAGTTAAAGTGCTATAGCATGGGTTCTCAAACTACAGCCCACGGGACGGATCTGGCCCGCCATGCCCATTCATCCGGCCCACGCCACCGCTCACTGCCTGCAAGCTTGCCTGCACGGGCAGGAGGTGGTGGCTTGCTCACTCAGAGATGGTTTTGGACTCAATGGGAGATCTCCCAGCAAGTCCAAAACCATCTCCAAGCAAGCAAGCTGCTGCCTGCCTCCCCCATGCACGAGCGGTGGCTTGCTCACTCAGAGATGGTTTTGGACTCGCTGGGAGATCTCCGAGCGAGTGAGCCACCGCCGCGTGCATCCAACGCCACCTTGCGCACACCCGACGACTCCTCACCGGGCCCTGTGCCCAGGCCCCCACTCCTCACCGGCCCACACGTGTAGCCGCTGCCTTTCAACTGGCCCCCTATTGAAAAAGTTTGAGGACCCCTGTGCTATAGGCTGGTTCTAGGTAAGGAAGGGGCTTTTGTTGATCCCTACAAACTAGTAACCTCCTTTCCTTAAACCAGCAGACAGGCAGGCCCCCTTTCTTCCCCCTGTGATGCATTTCTGCCAGATGTGAGGGGTGCACCAGCACTAAAGGAAGCAGCTGCCATTGAGATTGCTGGCAAAGCACCAGCATGATGGCACTGCAGTTACTTATAGCTGTCCTTTCGGAACCACTGGAGAAAAGGGATCTGGACAGCATCAGTAACCCACAGGTGCTGTCCACTGATGTCAGACCTGTGCATTCTCTGGTCTAGAGGTACAGCATTTGACTATTCAGAGCACTCAAACATGTCCAGTGGGTTGCACACCTAAGAATGCCTCATTATTATATTGATTTATGATTGGTTCCTCCAGACCCCACTTATTCCCCCCTAGCAACTGAACTGTTCTTCGTTTCTGTGCAGTTCCGTGCCCCCACGCAGTCTAAAAGGTTAAAATGCTCCCTTGCATGCAGGGTATTTTTGCCCTACCCACCACTGGGATGCAGCCTCAAAGAGCTTCTCTGAAATACAATTAAGCTTTTGAACAGACATGGGTTCCACACCCCTGATGCACTGACAGGACACCATCAGGAAATGCAGAGAATAACTGAGACATACTTCTGATTGCTCTCTCTCTCCATCTCATTTTGGTTTTGTATTTTTTTATTTTTTGAACCAATAGATCATGGTGCCACATTGAGTGTGAGCATACCTTTGCGTTCCACCCTGCGTGTGCCCCTGGGGAAAACTCTGACCATCCCCTGCTACTACATTGACACATTGGAGCATGTTACCACATCTCCATCCACTGCTCCTCTGTCCCCAAGGATCAAATGGAGCAAACTGTCAGATGGCGAAGAAATTGCCTTGCTAGTGGCCATGGATGGGCATGTGAGAATCAACACTGCCTACAAAGAGGTGGTCTCTCTGCCCAATTACCCTGCCATACCTACTGATGCCACCCTGGAAATCAAGGCGCTTCGGTCCAATGATACTGGGATCTACCGCTGTGAGGTGATCCATGGCATTGAAGACAGCCAGGACACAGTAGAAGTGAAAGTGAAAGGTAAGACAATTCTTTCCTTTTCTTCTGTCAAGGTTGCCATTTTCAGTTGAGTTCTGATGTCTATCCTCATTCAGAAATGCAAGCATCAGGAAGGCTGGATGTCTTAGCACAAAGGATGATAGAAAGATCTCCTAAACATTGCGTTTCACTTCCCAGAAGTCTCTTTCAGCATGGCCAATGGTCAGAAATGCTCCAAGTCAAAGTCCAAAGCATCTTAATATCTGTCCATACTTGTCCAAGGAATTAGGAAGCATAGAGCAAGTGCGATGATACATATCATCTTTCACCTAAATAGTAGGCCAGCCTTCCCTAACCTAGTATCCTCCAGATGTTTGTAACAAAAATTTCCAGCATTCCAGACTATGGCTGAGCCTGGTGAGTATTGTTGGGAGTCAAAGTGCAAAACATCCAGAAGGCTCCAGGTTTGAGAAGATGGAAATAATTGGTTTCAGCTCTAGTAGGCTGTTTCTGGAAGGCAACCTGTCTAGGAACCCTAGAAGGGGAAAATACTGTAGTGATGGAGACAAAGCAGACGTGACATTCAATGTGTGACTATGTTTGTATTTTTCTTTTACTGATAGCAACTTCAGAGGAGCAATTGGATGGTTTTATTTCATTTATATCTCAACTTTTCCCCTTTTTCAAGGAACCCAGAATGTTTATTTAGTTCTCCTCCCGTCTATTTTGTCCTCATGATAACCCTGTGGAGAGTGAGTGAGTCATAGAGCAGCCAGTAGGCTCCATGGTCAAGGGAGGACTAGAACCAACTAGACAAGATACCACACTGGGAATCCCTGATGCATGGGAAGGAAAACTAAACCCCCTCCCCCTCAGCATGAGCCCATTCATACTGCCCAATGTGGTCTATTACTGCTAAAGAAGGAACACTAGCTTATTAAAAGCCCTAGCACATTCAACGTCATGCCTGCTTGGACCTGTAAAATTAGACTTTGGAAGTTGCAGGGATGTGGAAACAAGGGCATCAGCTGTACCAGAACTTTGGCACCATCAGCCAAATTTCCCTAGATCCTGTATTGGTGATCTCCAACCCATTTAAATTTAAAATCATCTGGTTGAGCTTATTTGCTGAGGTTTGTGCATGTGTGTGTTTATGTCGGTGAATGTGTTTTCCAGGCATCGTGTTCCATTACAGAGCTATCTCCACCCGCTATACCTTGAACTTTGAGAAGGCCAAGCAGGCATGCATCCAGAACAGTGCTGTCATTGCAACCCCTGAGCAGTTGCAGGCTGCCTATGATGATGGATTTGACCAGTGTGATGCTGGATGGTTGGCTGATCAGACTGTCAGGTAAGAAGCTGGAAGGCGAGTCTGAACATTAGGGAAGAGCATGGTGGAACCATGCGGACTGAGCTGTGGCCTGGAGGATTGCTCCTCGGGGCTATTGTTCAGTTGGTTTTTCAACCCCTCACTTTTTTGAGAAGTAGGGCTTTGTGGGGAGTTTGCTTAAGCCCTTTGCAGGTTGAGCAAGACAGCCATGTCCCCCGTTCCTGCTGTATGCACTGAAAGTGCCAGATTAACCCTGGTGAAAACTCAAGTTATGTAATAGATGAGGAATCAGAGAATGGTCCAAAAGTCAGGTAACTGAAGGTATTTCTTTCCTTGTCACTGATAAAATCTCAAGGCATTATATGCTGTATTTCCTGTTCCATATACATAAAGCTGTGGAAGCAGTTTCTGCTTAGTTTCCTTTGTTCTTCAAGAAATTGTTCCCATTGCAAAGCTGGACAGTAGGTACAATTTCTCTCTCACACATGTGAAGACAGTCTCTCTGCTTACTGAATCTGTCCCTGAATCAGGTACCCAATGCATCATCCTCGAGAAGGTTGTTATGGTGACAAGGATGAATTGCCCGGAGTGAGAACATATGGTATTCGGGAACCGGATGAGACATATGATGTGTACTGTTATGCAGATGAAATGGAAGGTAATTATTTGCTTCAACTCGTTTCTGCTCCAGCCTTTCATGATAGGGTCTTCATGGCAATTTGTGGTCCAAGTTAAAAGCATTTACAATCTGCCATAAAGGAACAATCTAAGGCCCTGAGCCATTCCTAGTTAAAATGTATTTGGTTTGTTTTCAACTACTTTCCCTGCTTTTTAGAGCTGGGCCTCATGTGCAGTATAACATTGTGCCACATAAATAGGGATGTCACATGGAGATGGGTAGAGACCTGTTCTCCCCTGCAGAGGAAGGCAGGACACACTCCAATGGAGCAAAGCTCAGGGAGCCAAGGTTTTGTTTGGATGCCAGGAAGCACTTCCTGACAGTTAGGACTCCGAGGGTGTGGAATGTGCTTCCATGAGAGGTCGTTGAGGCTCCATCGGTGCGGGTGTTCAAGGATAGGCTGGACGTCCACATGGTGGGCATGTCGTGAGCAGAGCCGGCTGGTGCTGGAGGTCAGACTAGATGGCCCAGGAGGCCCCTTCTGATTCGCTCTGTTTCTATGTTTCTATGTATTTGGTTTGTTTTCAACTACTTTCCCTGCTTTTTAGAGCTAGGCTGCATGTGGAATATAACATTGTGCCACATAAATAGTTTTTATAGAATATGCATTTCTACAAAATGCATGCAAGTTACCTGGAGTCAGGTGCTGCTGCACTGGTAGGAAGTTCCACAGTGCTGGGCCCACCTCCAAAGAAGTCTTGACTCCCATACATGGTTACCTAAGTGGATACCAAAAAGGATCCCTAGGAAAGATCATAATGTGTGAGCAGGACTGCATGGGTGGAAACTGCCAGATAGACTCACCTCATGCTATTTATGCATCAAAGGTAGCCTGCAAACTTACTGATTGCTAATGTTGTTGGTGCAAATCTGACTTTCTGGATGCCATCACCATCCAAGTGGCCATATTATGCAGCATCACCAGAGGCGTCCCTACATAAAGCACATTCCTGGTACATGGTTAACAGGACCAGGTCTGTCTGCTCCAGGTAGGGCTCCAGCTACAGCCTGGGGCTTGCAGTAAAGCTCACCAGGCCACTGTGGCCACCTGTTCCTCTCCAGGAGTGATGCATCCAGGAGTGCCACCAAGCTGTACACCTGGTGCTTGAAGGGGCGTGCAGCTCATCCAAGGTTATTTCCTCACTGTCCACGTTAATAAATTTTCCAGTCCGCAGAACTGTTCTCCCATTCTCCCTCATCCGTCTTAGTGCCACAGCCAGGCCACTGCTCAGGCTCTCAAAGAGACTATCCAAAGAGAAACAGAGTCACGTGGCATCTACCTGTTGATGACATCCAAGCTCAGACCCTCAAAGGACTTCTTCTAGCAGCTCCATGTAGAAGATGAAGAGACGATGTTGCCTTATCTTCAGTCAGGCCATCGGTCCACATCTAGCTCAGTATGACTGACTAGCAGCATCTCTCTGGGGTTCAAGCAGGAGCTTTTCCAGTCCCATCTGGAGGTGCCAAGGACTGAACCGGTGGCCATCTGCATGCAGCACGCATGCAGTGCCGCTGAGTCTTGGCCCCAGATGGAACCCTGTGGCAGGTGGAGAAAGGGGGGGCATTTTGCCGACTATACCCAGCAGGGGCAAACTCGTACTTCTCTTCTAAGAAGCAGGGGCTTAGTCTAGACTAAATTAAACAATATGGTTGGTTCATACTGTCCATTTGTTTATCTCATCTTTTACCATCCCATAGTTGATGCTCTCTGGGCAGTTGACAACAATTGGGTGAAGGAGGCAGTGACTGGGAGAGGAGGTCAAAGAGAAGAACAGGCCAAGTCCATCTTTCTCTCATACTCGATACAGGGCTCTTATGTGCTCAGTCTTACATTCAATTCATCTCAACCTTGGGGAATTTCTCCAGTCTTAAATTCAATTCTTCCAAAATTTCAAGAATGTGTATGCATGAAAAGTCATCCTCATTTTAGTTCAACTTTGTCCAAATATGTGCATTTTGTGTGCATTTTACCTAATATACACGTTCTTGCAAGCCATTTTCCTAACAGTTTACATGTAGAATGTTTTTATCCTAGTACATGCATGTTGCGGGCATTTAATGATTGAAGAAGTTTGTTGCAAAATGGGAAGTGTGGCTATTGTTACATAGTTATTAAAAAAATGAATTTCTCCTCCGCCTCTAGATGGGTTGGATTCTCAGTTGTGTCTTAGATTTTCCATTCCATTCTGTTCATGGGTTATGAAATCATGTAGGGCATACCTTTACTTCACATTCCCAAGGTGGAGACTGCAAATTGCACCACCACCCCCAGCAAACTCCAGGAGAACATGAGAATTTCTTATTCCACCCAGAGAACCTCAGTTATTAGGCAGTATAAAATGTACTAAATAAATAATTTTTTTCTCAGAAGATGTGATTCAATTCTTAAAGGTCATCCTCCCTTTCCTTTGATCTCGTGGCCCCATGAATTATGGGAAAGGCTGATGCAATAGGTAAGGATGCAAACTATGGATAATCCTTGCCTTCATTCGTGTGTGATGATTGCAGGTAAAGTTTTCTACGCCACCTCCCCAGAGAAGTTCACTTTCTTGGAAGCTGCAGAGAAATGTCGTAGCCTTGGTGCTCGTTTGGCAACAACAGGAGAGCTGTATTTGGCCTGGAAAGATGGCATGGACGTCTGCAGTGCTGGCTGGCTGGCAGACCGCAGCGTTCGCTACCCTATCACCAAGGCACGGCCCACTTGTGGTGGCAACCTGGTGGGGGTTCGCACAGTGTACCTCTACACCAATCAGACAGGGTATCCTTACCCCCATTCCCGCTATGATGCCATCTGCTACACTGGTGAGTAGAGATCATTCTCTTTCTGATCCATGTCAGTTGTGTATGTATTTAGTCCAAAATGTATTCTATCCCATTATCTGCTACAACAACAAGAACATTTAAAATTCACCTCTCTGAAAATGACATTTAAATTGCACCTTTTTTTGCTAAAATACACCTTTTATACCCACTTTTCATGAAACTGTATACACATTTCCTACCAAAGGCACACTTTGTGCATTTCTCCCAAAATGCATATATTTTTAATCCATATAACTTTAGCTATGCTGAATGATCCTACATGTTCAATTGGAAGCATGTTCTACTGTATTTAATGGAACTTGTGTGTTTGGAAATAGGAAGGCTAGGAATAGGAAATGTTTATGTGTTTCCCCAGATATGCATGTTTGCATTTGTTTCCCTCAGTATACACATTTTTGCCTGATTTGTGCATTGAGAATTGGTCAGAAGCAAGAAGTGCACAATTCCACATATAACTGTCTGAGAAGTATAGGTTAGATCAATTCAATTCCATATATGGACCAAACAAAATTCTGTATTATAGTAGAATGTGAGGTCTTGATATTTTTCATCTACTATGGTAGCTCCATTGTTAGAGAAACATGATAAAGGGGCCCTCTCCAACATACAAGCCAAATGACAATTCCATTGATTTTAATTGGCCAACTCTAGAATAAAGACTGTGGCTTACAACCAAAGTGCTATTAATAGGGTAATTTGATACATGTCTGCTCAGAAGTCAGTCCCACCCAGTTCAATGGGGCTCATTTCCTGGAAAGTGGATATAGGATTGCTGCCTGCATCTCTACATGGGGGTTTGCAACGTGGTATGTGTGGGTACTGCATCACCTGAAGGAACCTCCCGTAGCATGAAGGTATTTCCACCATTTGTCTCCTTCAATAATTTATTTTATTCAGAGTTTATTTTAATGAAAGTCTTTATTTTAAAGTATAAAATAAGCTTGAAAACCATTGAGATGACAAGTCCTTTCCCATTCTGTACCTGACACTATTCAGTGATTCATTAGACAGAAGAGTAGGAAAGTCTTGTTTCTTGGCCCTACCCAGCCTTCTTCTGTTCCCATAGACCTTTCCCTTGTGCTTTCTCTCTCTCTCTCAACTCCTGCCCTCATTCCTGGCCTCTAGCCTTGCTATTTCTCTCCACCATACCTTTACGACCTATTAAATACAGGAGCACTTGCTTCTGATCAAACATGTAGGATCATTCATCATAGCTAAAGTCTTGTGGATAAAAAACTTGCTTTAGGTTAAACGTTAACATGTTAAATGTTACGTTGCATCACATACATTTGTTTAAAGCTTGTAACATACATTATCTTGTTGTAATCCTTAGAACAACCCTGTAAGGTAGGTTAGTATTACTACCCCATATTGTAGACCATGGACAGTTGGAAGGTAAGGGAGAGCCCCTCGCCGGAAGTCGTCCGGTGTGCGCAGGGCACAGGGAAAGCCTGAGTGAGGGGTGTGCCAGCAGATAGCTCATTCAGCCTGCCAGGTTGCTGTGCAAGTGGGTCATTTCAACAGCACCCATAGCAAACTGTGATGAGAAAAAATTCGAGGTGAGAAGTTGGTGAGATACAGCCAAGGTAGGAGACTGCTGAGAGCATTTTCCTTCCTGCAAAGTCTTCTGGCCTCTTGTGGGAGAAGATTGTGCAAATACTGACCAGACTGGCTGACCTTGAGGTACAAAAGAAGAGTACAGCAGAAGTCAATGGCAATGGAAGCAAAGAGGGTTGGAGTTACTGGCCATTACAGAGGTGGATCAATGGTAAGAAGTCGATTTCAAATGGAATGGCTCTCCTCCCTTCCTAACTGAAATGCCCAAACCACTCCTTCAGGGTGGAACTTTCTGTGTAAGGGCCGGTTGCTCGAAGGATCTGGCACTTCTCAGGTGGTCTACCTTCTTGGCCTGACATCATACCCTGGGATAAATTCTGCTGGGTCCACCTTCTTCCTTATTCGTATGCTCATTAAGCTTTCCCATGGTATTTGAAAGTGATTCATTCTTAACTCAGATTCGTTCTTTTATAGGAAGAATGGGCATAGTCTGTACAAAATAGCAGCTGCATACATTGTTGCTGCTCACTGCAACAAAATGAGTCCATCAAGGTCCACTATCAGATGAGGCCCCCCAGAATGTGCTTTGCTGAGGGCCCTTCCAATCCCTTAAGAAGGTGACTTTTCATCTTTACCTGTCTAACCAGTTCATTGTTTTTCTAGGTGGGGACTTTGGCAAGATTGTCCATGAGAACTTCACAGAGGATACAGTTGATGAGTTGGGCAGTGGCTTCACCATCCAGACTGTCACTGAGACAGATGTCGAATTGGAGCTTCCACGCAATGTCACTGAGGAGGAAGCCCGGGGAAGCATTGCGACATTGGAACCAATTGGCTTTACAGTCACCACCTCTGAGGTGGATGAAGGCTTCACTGCAGCTCCAGATCTCATTGCTGTTGGCTTCACTGATGAGACAGAGAATCGGACTGAGGAGGCCATTGAGGAGGGTCTAGAAAACATCACCGTCTCAGTCCTGGATGCTCTTCTCACCACTGAAACCCCAGAGGTGAGCTCAGTGGAAGACAGCCTGTGGACCATAGTGACATCAGAACCAGAGTCTGCCTCACCTTTTACCGTTGAAGACCAGATTGTCCCAGGCACAGCTGCTCCGGATATTGCTTTTATCCCCAGGCAGCCCAAAGGTATGTGGCAAACACTAGAATGCAGAATGGCAAGATTTAACTTGTTCCAGTTACCCTGTGATGGCCAAGTCACTGTGCCTTCCATGCTAAATATATTGTTGTTGCCAGTCACGAAGGCGCTCCTGACCCATCACGACCCCATGGACACCATTCCTCCAGGCCTTCCTGTCCTCCACCATCCCCTGGAGTCCATTTAAGCTCACACTGACTGCTTCAGTGACTCCATCTAACCAAGTCATTCTCTGCCACCCCCTTCTTCTTTTGCCGTCAGTTGTTCCCAGCATCAGGATATTCTCCAGCAAGTCCTTCCTTCTCATTAGGTGGCCAAAGTATTTGAGTTTCATCTTCAGTGTCTGGCCTTCTAAAGAGCAGTCAGGGTTGATCTCCTCTAGGACTGACCGGTTTGATCGCCTTGCAGTACAAGGGACTCACAGGAGTCTCCTCCAGCACCACAATTCAAAGGACTCAATCCTTCGGCACTCAGCCTTCCTTATGGTCCAGCTTTCACAGCCATACATTGGAACTGGGAAAACCATGGCCTTGACTATACACACTTTTGTCAGCAGGGTGATGTCTCTGCTTTTTAGAATGCTGTCTAGATTGCCATAGCTTTCCCCCTCAGGAGCAAGTGTCTTTTAATTTCTTGGCTGCTGTCCCCATCTGCAGTGATCTTGGAGTCCAAGAAAATAAAATCTGTCACTACCTCCATTTCTTCCCCATCTATTTGCCAGGAAGTGAGAGGACTGGATGCCATGATCTTAGTTTTCTTAATGTTGAGTTTCAAGTCAACTTTTGCACTCTCCTCCTTCACCAGCATCAAGAAGCTCTTTAGTTCCTTTTCACTTTCTGCCATTAGAGTGGTATCATCTGCATATCTGAGGTTGTTGATATTTCTCCCAGCAATCTTAATTCCAATTTGAGATTCATCTAGCCCAAGCTAACGCATGATGTACTCTGCATATAAGTTAAATATGCAGGGCAACAATATACAGCCTTGCCATTCTCCTTTCCCAATTTTGAACCAATCAGTAGTTTCCTGTCCAGTTCTCACTGTTGCTTCTTGACCTGCATACAGGTTTCTCAAGAGACAAATAAGATGGTCTGTACTCCCATCTCTTTATGAACTTGCCACAGTTTGTTGTGATCCACACAATCAAAGGCTTTAGCATAGTCAATGAAGCAGAAGTAGATGTTTTCCTGGAACTCCCTAGCTTTCTCCATGATCCAGCATATGTTGGCAAATTGATCTCTAGTTCCTCTGCCTCTTCAAAATCCTACCTGTACTTCTGGTAGTTCTTGGTCCACATACTGCTGAAGCCTAGCTTGTAGGATTTTGAGCATAACTTTGCTAGCATGTGAAATGAGTGCAATGGTGTGGTAGTTCAAACATTCTTTGGTAATGCCCTTCTTTGGGATCGGAATGTAAACTGACTTTTCCAATCTTGTGGCCACTGTTAGCTTTTCCAAATTTACTGGCATATTGGGTGTAGCACTTTCACTGCATCATCTTTTAGGCTTTTGAATAGCAAAGCTGGAATACTGTCAATCCACTAGCTTTGTTGTTGCTCAGACTTCCTAAGGCCCATTAGACTTCACATTCCAGGATGTCCGGCTCGAGGTCAGTGACCACCCCATCGTGGCTATCAAGGATGTTAAGATCTTTCTTCTGTGTAATCTTGCCACCTCTTCTTGATCTATTCTGCCTCTGTTAAGTCCCTGCCATTTTGGTCCTTTATCATGCCCATCTTTGCATTAAACATTCCCTTCATATCTCCAATTTTCTTGAAGAGATCTCTATTCTTCCCCATTCTATTGTTTTCCTCTATTTCTTTACACTGTTCATTTAAGAAGGCATTCTTATCTCTTCTAGCTATTTTCTGGAATTCTGCATTCAACTGGGTGGATATTTCCCTTTCTCCCTTGCCTTTCACTTCCCTTCTTTCCTCAACTATTTGTAAAGCTTCTTCAGACAGCCATTTTGCTTTCTTACTTTTCTTTCTTTCTTTTTTTTTGGGGGGGGGTGTGGTGGATGGCTTTAGTTGCTACCTCTTGTACAATGTTGTGAACTTCCATCCATAGTTCTTCAGGCACTATGTCTACTGATCTAGTTCCTTAAATCTATTTGTCACCCCTACTTTATATTCATCAGGAATATGATTTAGGTCATACCTGAGTGGCCTAGTGCTTTTCCCTACTTTCTTCAATTTAAGTCTAAATTTTGCAACAAGATGTTCATGCTCTGAGCCACAGTCAGCTCCTGGTCTAGTTTTTACTAACTTTATAGAGCTTCTCCATCTTTGGCTGCAGAGCACATAGTTAATCTGATTTCTGTATTGACTATCTGGTGATGTCCATGTGCAGAGTCGTCTCTTGGGTTGTTGGAAAAGAATGTTTGCTATGACCATCATATTCTCTTGACAAAATTCTACCAGCCTGTACCCTGCTTCATTTTGTACTCCAAGGCCAAACTTGCCTGTTATTCCAGTTATCTTTTGGCTTCCTACTTTAGCATTCCAATCCCCCATGATGATAAGGACATCATTTTTTGGTGTTAATTCTACAAGGTGTTGTAGGCCTTCATAGAACTGGTCAACTTCAGCCTCTTCAACATCAGAGGTTGGGGCATAGACTTGGACTACTGTGATGTTGAATGGTTTGCCTTGGATTCGAACTGAGATCATTCTGTCATTTTGGAGGTTGTATCCCAGTACTGCTTTTCCTACTCTTTTATTGACTATGAAGGCTACTCCATTTCTTCTGAGGGATTCTTGCCCACT